GGGGTATGAGGGAGGTGGGGAGTTATATTGTAAAAATTTTAAAAATTTTCAATAAAAAAAACAAAACCCAGCCAACCACTAAAATGGACAATGGAGTGCCAAGCGGCATTTGAGAGATTAAAGAGACTTTTTTCTGCAGAACCAGTACTGAGACACCCAGACATGGATAGGCCCTTCGTAATACAAGCAGATGCAAGCGATGTTACAAGAAAACAATGAAGGAATATTGCAACCCTGTGCATACACATCAAAGAAACTCACGGAAACAGAACAGCGCTGGCCCGTATGGGAGAAAGAGGCATATGGGATCCGTTGGGCATTACTCACGTGGCGGCAGTTCCTAGAAGGCAACAAAATCCCCTTCCAGGTGTGGACTGACCACAAGAATTTGGAAGCCCTGAAAACACCCAGGAAGCTCAATCCCAAACAAGCCCGCTGGTCCCAACATTTCCACCAATTCCAATTTAAGCTCAAACACTTGCCGGGGGGGAAGAACTTCCTGGCAGATGCACTATCTCGCATGCCCCAATATAACAGCACGCGAACCACAGACTCTAAACCGATGATAGCAGAATCACAACTGGCAGCACCAGTAACCACCAGAGCCCACGCTAAAATAAAACCACAACTGAACAGCCAAACTGGAATTGAATTTTGGAAAAGTTTGGAATCAGATGAATGGTTTCAGAAAAGCAAAAATGTGTGCACAATGAGAGACGGGTTGCCTTGGGTAGGGGAAAAGTTATATATACCAGCAACCCAAAGAATCACATTCATGCAACTTTGCCATGATACAAAATCAGCAGGGCATTTTGGATTTGTAAAAACATTACACTTAATTAAACGGCAATTTTGGTGGCCATCCATAAAAAAGGACATAGAAAGTTATGTGGCCAGCTGCCCAAAGTGTGCAATGGCGAAGAGGCTACAAGGGAAATCGCCCGGATTGTTACAAACAGTGGCAAATCCTTCAGCCCCATGGAGGGAAATAGCCATGGACTTTATTGTAGAATTACCAGAAAGCAATGGACATACTGTTGTCTGGATGGTCACGAACTTGTTTTCCAAACAGGTGCACTTTATTCCTTGCCAAAAGATTCCCACTGCAAAAGCCTTAGCGAAACTGTTTGTCCAGCATATTTACAGATTGCATGGAGCACCCCAACGCATCATCTCTGATAGGGGAGTGCAATTTACGTCTGCATTTTGGAAGGAATTTTTATCCCTCTTAGGAACCACTCAGGGACTAACATCTAGCCATCACCCACAAGGGAATGGGGGGG